TGCTGACTGTAGCAGATCTCCATTATTAATTGCAGTCTAGTTCACTAGTTTACTAGCCAGCCTTAAGCCCGGAGAAAGATACCGGAAAATTAACCCAATCACTAGAGAAACTTCGAAGCACAGCGAACGTCAAACAGATATTATCAGTCTGGAACAATGCATTACTGCATACCCCTCCCTCATATCTACTCTTCAAATAAAATATTTATTAGAGAAAGAAAGGCATATAAATGATTCAACTCAAAGTTGTTAACTGCTACAAGACGGGAATTGCGTTGGTAGTTCAGAGGTGGAATACTCGTCAACCGCACATGTGGTCCGGGATTCGACCCCTGGTCGACAACCCCCAAAAGCTTGCTTGTCAGTCAGTAAGCCCATTAAAGAGGGAAGGTTGGGCATGAGGCTAGTAACTCCACTCCTTTTAAAAAGAGGAACACTGTTTCTACTGTAACTCCAAAGATCAAAACTTGAAGGCTTATATTCCCTTGATAGTGATTGTCCCTGTTGCTTAGTTATTTGCATCTTCTCCATGTTCACTTGAAGTTCTGTCTTTTCTGCTTCCTCTGCCAACTTGTCGGTTTTCACCTGTAAGTCTTTGAATTTGTGTGACATGAAATAGAAATCCTCCGGGAAGTCCAGATCTTCTATAGTCTTCTTATCGACCCACTGTACTCCCCAAATTTTTACTCATAATCCAGTCCATCCCCATCAGGAATATCATCATTGGTGATAGTAGTCAGCCTTGTCTTACTTCTGTCTTCAGGTGAGTTTTCCGTCACTGATCTCCTTACATGTGGGATTGTCATATAGCCGACTGTTGAATGAGGTTGATGAAGATATGGAGCACTGTGTGGTGTTGAAGCAGTTCCCAAGCCACTTCACAGTCAGCTGCTATTCTATGCTCTACTCGACGACGATGCGTAGAGTTGCGACTTGATCCGTATGTGGTTTGCTTTTCTTGAATCCAGCTTGTTCCGTGGGGCGGTGTTCTGCATCCAGTGCATCTTTTATTCCTCCCAGAATGACGCGACTTAGTATTTTGATTGGCGTGTACAATAGCATTATTCCACGCCAGTTTTTATAGAGGCCTAAGCCGTCCTTCTTTGGTAGAAAATATAAAAGTATTGCTGTATTTATACGTGTAGTGTGATCGAAGTTTATTGAATAATAAAAAACGTACGGAAAAGTCTACGATTAAGAGGAAGTAAATATTTGAGCAGCAACATCATGAGACATATGTAGGCATCTAGAATTCCTTCAACATAATAAGTAAGCAGGCAAACTTAAGCCTCTTGTATTTCGCAGAGACCATCGATATCACAGCGGTTAAAATCTGACCTGTGTATTCAAAAAGAAGCTGTGACAAGTCTTCGTCAACCTTTCCAACTCGTCTTCTAGTCTTATTTTACTCTTATAAAGTTGTAAATGTTAAATTTCTTTCCAGACCAACTTAGTTCAATCATCATTTATTAAAATGTTATGCTTCATATGTCTTTTATCTAATTAAATGAGCTTTACTCACGATTAAACACTTTCATACTTCATTTGTTTATGAGGAATTTTGTAGTGAGCAATGTGACTTACGTTATAATTTATGTTTCTCAATATCTTATTGCTACCATTTCTCCCCCGACTGGAGAAACTTCTGTCACACTACTACAGCAGTATTTTTATATTTTGCTAACTTCCATCATCCAGACTGTATGCAGTTGATAAGATACTGACGAAACGAAACACAGGGATCCATTTTATCCTGCTCCATATGTTGTTGTTGCTGTTATTATTGCTTTGTTCAAATTCATTAACGAGGGAATTCGTGTATCAGGCAATTATTAGTCAAACTGATAACAGGATTTGAAAATAGGACTCTGTGTCATTCCAACTTCTTTTCTGCCAAATAATGCATTAAATAAGTAGTGTGTTTTGTGTTATTTCAACTCTTAGGAAAGAAGAACCCAAAAACGAATCGGACACTTTGTGATTCAGTGGCGGAAAACTCGGCAACCACGAACGTGATGTGAGGCTCGATCGACCCTGACCGATATACTCCCAAACCTCGATTAGCCAGTAGTAAGCCGGGTGAAGAGGGGAGGTTGGGTATGAGACTAGCAACTCCTCTCCCCCTCCCCCATAAAAGATGAACACCAATGCTACTGAAACTTCGAAGCTCAAGCTTCGATGTCCCATGTTCTACACGGAATGCAAAGGAATTAAATCAATGATAATAAAATTTGTAGAAACCTTATTTCTTACAGAAAAAGACCGCAGTTGGAAAAAACCTTTATTGCAGAAGGATACTGTTTTCATTGAAGTCGTCTGATTATGTGGTGATGCTTACTTCTCCTGCAGAGGGTACTTGCTTCACTTATCTAGGAAGCATCGTTTCAACCACAGGCGAAACGGATGAGGATGTTAAAGTCAGCCAGAATTGAAAAGGCAAGGCATACTATCATCAGTCTGAAATGAATTTGGAAATCTTCTGCACTCTGTGGCATAAAGAACAAAATTCGAATTTTCAACATCAATGTTCAGTCAGTCACCGCCTGTATAATGGTCAGAAAGTTGGCGCACCCGTCAAGAAGAGCATTTCCAACAGGTGGGTTCAACAGCAGCCTTCGCTGTCGAATGAAGATCAAATGGTCGGCTGGTCAGAAGGAATTATCAACAAGAAACGATGGGGAAAAACTAACCACGAGCCTATTGCTCAATAAATATGCTGAAGAAAATTGAGATGGATCGGACACACGCTGAGGAGACCGTCGAATGACATCGCGCATCAGACCATCGCTCTAATGGAACCCGAATTGGAAACGACGAGTTGGGCGTGGGTCCGAGGGTGACATGGAGGAGATCGGAGACTATGGACAACCGTGGGTCCAGCTAGAGAGAACGTCGCAGAATACAACAAAGTGGAGACGTGGTGTTGAAACTCTATTTTCCACTTATAACCTAAACGATTAATAATAATAATACTTCTCCTGCATAGTTCCTATAATTAAATGACGTTGGATGACTCCGACCTTGCCCATAAATTTCCCGATTTTGATGATATTTCTGTCGGTACAATGACTAGTTTACTGTCACCCCCTGATATCTTTCTCTCTCTCTGTACTGTTGTGTGAATTTTTGATCCAATTATTAGTATCTTTCATATACGGCCTTGTAGTACAAACAGATTTTTTTGCTGACATCCAAAGAAAGGGTGATTTTTACGCTAAATTAAAACCCAGTATTGTTTTAGTAATTTAAAAATGACCACTACCTTCTCTACTATAGTGTGTGACTGAATGGAAAAGTTGTGTTTCCTTATGCAGAAAGGCACGTATAAACGAAACAACATAAATTTTCCGTCCACACATCATATTTTCCGCCTCCTATCAACTTTTGCTTTGTAACTCACTCTCTGATGGTCACAAGCAGTTGGATGTTGGGCTCTCCGAATAATTCTTTATAGTCATGGTTGATTAATTTTATGCTTACAGTGTGTGACATTGGATATTAATATGTTGTTTTATTTTTGTGTACTATCTCTACGCGTATTTCATTCTCTTTTTTTGAGAGTGCGTCGGCCGGGAGTCGAACCATAACCTTCCACGTGATTGACGGACTTTTTCTAACTCCTTTTGCGTTTCAAGTGAAACATTGGGCTTCAAGCTTTTTGAGCTTTGAAGTTTCGGTTTTATTTTTACGGGGTGGGGGGTTGCTAGCCACATGCCCAACCTTCCCTCTTTACCGGCCCTACTACCGACTTAGAGAGAGGTAAAGGAGTGTGTCGACCGAAAATTGAAGCCCGGACGATATTCGTGGCTGGCAAGCACTCTATCGCTGAACGAATATTGTACTCTGATTGGCAAATTATGATTCACTAAAAAAAATTACTCAGCAAATTACGGTTCGTAGAATTATTGTGGCTTTCGATGATTCAGGGGTAGAACACTTGCCAACTACACACGTTGCTCAGGGTTGAACCCCCGGTCGAAGCAAACCTCACCTCGTTGAAGAAATAACACTACCGCTACTGAAACCTCTACTCGAGACGCAAAGGAATAAGCTAAAAGAGAAGAAAAGAATGACCATACTACTTGAGATAAATTTAAATTTGACTGGTCATTACTGAAGAATAACTGAACTTCCAGTTCAACTGTTCTTTGAAACTTGAAATACTCATGTTTCTCTGAATATCAATAGATAATAAGTTTTGCATGCTTGAAATTCTAGAAATTCTCATCTATCGCAAGTGAAAGCAGCAAACGAATAAATGACTTTTGATCTGTTCGCTTTTAAATAATTCTTCGTTAAGCTGCCAATCGTTTCTTTTGCCTCCATGTTTGTTAATTAAACCTATCAGTTCAACAGAAATCCCAGAGATTATAGATGCCTTCAAGTCTTTCTGTCTAAGGTCCATACTTCCGTACACACACAAACTCATACACACTGTACCTAGTTTCAAATGAAGCTATTTGGCTTAATTTTTTCATTCTTTTGCATCCCAAATGGGACACCAGACTCTGAGGTTCCTAGCCTCCTTATGTGGCGTGTGCTACTGATAAGACTTATCAGTAGTATATATATATGTGTATAAGGAGATGTTAATTGGCATAACACAACAAATAGCAGGGAGATAGATTTATTGTCAAAGGAAGCAAATGCCACAGTGTTGTGGAAATACATGAGAGACATGAAAGGAACACAAAGAAACACAATATAAAGGCCGGAAGTAGCACAACACGGAAGGTCTGTGCAAATGGTGCGTTGAAGATAAGGTGTACATACCAAATTCCAAATAAACATTCCTATCCCAAGTCTTCGTCTCACTTCTGCTGGCTAGTAAACTAGGTGTGACTTAAGAGTGCGTCGGCCGGGAATCGCCCCTCCCGGATCATGTGTATGTACGGCGAAAGTTCCAGTACTAGTCAGTTTTTCTTCTTTTTAAAATAACCACATGATTTTTAGTAGTGGTCACGTGTATTTTTTGTTTTTTCATCCTTATTTTTCGCCAGGAAATCGATTTCTGCCGAAAACTATCAGTCCGAATTTTGGGTATCGTGGAGAATATGACCGAGTTTGTATGCCCGTCATGTAAACACTCAGGTCCAGTGTTTCCGCCTACCACAGGTGGTGCAAATTCCCTGTGCACTGAAAATGGTGATAACAAATCGTTATCATCATCATCATCACCACTAGATCTAGAGATATTGGGTCGTTTGCCTCTTGATCCACGATTAACCAGAGCACTTGACGAAGGTTTATGTCCATTTGAGCTGGCCGAGTCAAATTCTCTCATGGGCGAGCAGTGTCACGGTTAGTTTTGTGTAATTATGATACAGGTCGATTAATTTGGCTGTTTTGCGGTGAACTTCATATGTTTGCGTTCTTCCCTGTTCAGCCAAGCGATATATGATAGTCACTATAACAACTATTCGTGCTATTATGTACCATGATGATCCCACAATGTTTTGTGGTAGTTACGCTTTCAGAATCTGTCATCTAATACACCTTTGTTGCACCAATCAGCGACCTCACATCACAAGTTACATTACATTGAACCAGATTCCAAGTAGCGATCTATCGAGAGTACTTACTTGGGTGGTAAGGCGTCGAGTGTTCGGTAAGGAGGGCAAGTCAATCGATGAGGTTGTGAAGCTACATCGATTGAGACGGCTATGACATATGTAACGTATGCCTAGACGTCGCCTTCCTCGACAGGAAATGTTAACTGACTTACAATTAGGTCGGAAAAGACCCATTGGTGGTCAAACCAAAACATGAAATCTTTTATAGTTAGTTTGAGCTAGGCACTTCGGGAGGTGTAGGCTGTTTGGCTGATTGGGGTCTTCGGGATTGACGGTAAGAACCAATGACGGCTGGAGACGATTGGAGATATGGCTTAAAATCGTTATCAGTGGCGCAGATGCGTTCACTTATTGCGATCTCCTACATCGGTTAAACCCTAATGATTTTTCTATGTCACTGTTCTTTCTTCCTCACATCTCAGCTTATTGTAGTACTTCTAAATCGCTTTTTCTCTCTTTTGTCTACCTCTGTGTGCTAAATGGAGTGGGTCACCTTAGATGGCACTTTGCACTTCTGTGCAAAGTTCTATGTTGAAACTAGTCAGTCAGAGAGTACTTTGATAGCGGGGCACAGCGGTTAAGACTCTCACCGACCATGCACATGGTCGGCCGGGGTTCGAACCCCTACTGACGCACATCTGATATCAGTGGTCGGCCTGCAAAATTTGGGCTACCGATATTACATGCTGAAAATTCCATACTTGTACGAAAAATACGGTGTGGTTTCAAGCTATAATCAAAATAAAATAAATAAATAAAACATCCCAAAAAATATAAAGCGATTAGTTACCATTTCTCACTTTGACCACACTTAACCCTTTTCTGTCAAGATTTGCTCGTCTAGAAACGTGGTGTCACAAAATAAGTAACACCTCATAGCTATCTGAAATGATACAGTTTTATGTCCTCATGAATTCACCTTCTCGCCTTACCTAATTGAAACTCTGCCTACATCTAGCTTCATGAGTAGTACGTATCATGTCGCTATACCTAATGACAGAGACACCAATGCTGAGAAACTGCCTGTGTTATTATATCCATGTCTTACAGTCACCAGATGGGACGGAGTGAAGTACTGCAGAGGAGATGCGTCTCTTGATAAATAGTTGGATATCACGACAGTGCCGAAAAATGATTGAATTGGGGAAATGTGAAACAAGCCTTTTGTGTCAGTGCTGTGAATTCGTCAGTTATCAGTCTCTGCTAGTACTGTTCATTATCATCTGTATACTGGAAAAATAAACGTGACATTTCCATAGTAATCACCGAAACGTGGAAGTCGACCAGGGTTACCTTCCGTTGTACACGCACAATGAAATAAGAAAGGCTGTAGTGTTGACATCTCTGACCATCACCATTCACAAATTGGATGATTACTCTTACTGAGTCGTTAGACGACTGCATAAGTTTGTGAGTAATCAATATTCTACGATTTATGAATAAGGTGGATGTTGAAGCCAGAATGACCTGTCCTTTAATTTAACTGTAAAAGTGCCTTTCTATAGAAGATATGTAGGTGCGAATCGTCTACTGGACAGACCCAATTCCGTCCAAAATCATATAAGTCTTGCATACAAAGAAGAAAGACTGAACCAGGTTCTATGTCGTAGATATGATGGTTCAATAAAGCGATCAGTTTATAGGAAGCCCACTTGGACAGGCAATGTTTAAGTTTTCACAGCTTCTGTTCACTACAGGATGAGAGAGGGCTTAGTGAAGTGCTTATTCAAATACAGCTGATATTATAGAGGATGAAAATAAAGTGATGATGAATAATCTTATTGAAAACGGATACCCTTTAAAAAATTTAAAACAGTGTAGAAGTCAATTAGTCTTTAAACCTACAATCTTTTCTGACCCCTAGGAAATATGTCTTCATGCTATTACCATACAATGGGAAAATACATAGTAGGATTTTTAGACAGAGAATTATTATTATTGTTTCCTTTAATTCCTAGAGGAACATAGGGCTTCAGCCGAGCGTCTCCATTGCGTTCGGTTCTCTGCTAGAGTCTTCACCTGGCTCCAAGTCTGCCCACACGTTTTCATCTCCTCGTCACATGACCTCCTCCAAGTCACCCTTGCACTGACGACCAACTCGCCGCTTCCCTTTCGGGTTCCACTCGAGCAATGGCTTGTCTAGTGATGTCACAGAGGTCCATATTGCTGATCTTTTCTGGCCATCTGATCTTGAGTACTGAGCGAAGACAACTGTTAATGAAGGTCCGTAGTTTGTTTGAGATGCTCTTTATGACGCACCAAGTCTCTGATCCGTATAGTACCACTGACTTCACATTGGAGTTGAAAATCCGGATCTTATTTTTGATACAGAGTGCTGTTGATCTCCGTACAGATTTAAGAGTACTGAAAGCTTGTCTTGCTTTTCCGATTCTCGCTTTGATATCCTCGTCAGTTCCGCCGGCCTGTAGTTGAAACGATGCTTCCCAGGTAGGTAAAGGAGGTTGTTTCTTTCAGGTTCCTTCCATTTATGCTGATTGTTCTCTATTGTTGTTGCTGTTGCTGTTGGTGGTGTTGCCCAGGAATCTTCATCACCTCTGTTTTATTTGTGTTCACCTGAAGTCCTATCTTTGATACTTCTTCTGCCAACTTGTTGCTTTTCGCTTGCATATCTTCCAGTTTGTGGGAAATCAGACATATATCATCGGCAAAGTCCAGATCCTCCAAGTTTTTTGTGTGAGTCCATTTTATGCCTGTTTCCTCATTGCCCGCTGTTTGTCGCATTATCCAACCTACTGCAATCAGGAAAATCATTGGCGATAGTAGGCAGCCTTGTGAGACAGAGAATAAACTCGGTCATCCGTAGGACCGGTTATGCAGTCCGGCTTGTAATCACTGAAAAAGCCAGAAATATGCTTCACTACAAACCTCGAAAGTGCATAAGTGATTATGTCACATCTCACACTGTTTGCCAATTTATTTATGTGTGTGTGTGGACACGCATACATAGGGAGGAGTAATCACACTTGCATATCCCAAAGTGGTTAGAAAACTAGATGAATCGTGAAAAATCAATAAATGCAGTTGGCAGACTACCAACTTCGTCAATAGCTTAACCATAAGATTGCTGTCAAAACAGCTTTTGGGGTTATTTATAAAAGCGGTCAAGGCCGCTTACTGAAATAGGCTGAGGCGATAGCTATTCATAAATGTAAGCCCTCACTGTGTGTACAAAAACAGTTTGTTATTACTCTTAACCTACCTTAGTAATCTTTATCTAATTTGATAACCAAACCTGGTGTTGTTAATTATTCTTATTAATTAGTAAAGTCAAGACCATGGTAACGAAAGAGATCGTACAAATTGCTTTTGGACACAAAGTTCTGACTTTATGCTATGTACTGCTACACAAATGCACTCGTGTCCCTTTCGGCAGACTTTGTTGGACTATATTGAACGATGTGTCAGATGGTGCGTGGTTAGTATCTACAATATGTTACATTATGGATGAATTAATATCTCTACATTCTCCTTTGTTCAGCCAAACTGGGATATTTTTCTCGACGAACGTCCTATTTGCCTAGCTCCACAAGAGTAGGTGAACATATGAGTACACATGGAATTAGACAATCGGGGTAACATTTCCTTGACATTAATGTGCACCAGTGTACGGCTAGAGTAGGTTACTCGTAAAGTGGCAGCAAAAAACGTTTTCCTGGTCCGACGATTTTTAAGTATTTCACTCTCAGTGTCACCCCTAAATTCTAACTTTAGGTGCAACACTTTTTTAGCTACCATATCAATCTCTATATTTCTCGCACGTACTTTGCTATTGGCCTGTACAAAGCGTGGTATATACCCGTTCTCTATGAAGGTTTCTTTCAGTTGTTTGTGTTCCTTATCTATACTATCTTCACTACAAATGTTACCACGATTGTCTAATTCCATGTGTACTCATTTGTTCACCTGCTCTTGTGGACTTAGGTACATAGGACGTTCATCGAGAAACATATCCTGCAACCGCGTTTCAGAGCACCTCCCAGTTTGGTTGAGCAAAGGAGAACGTAGAGGTATTAATTCATTCATATTGCAACATATTGTAGATACTCACCACGCAGTATCTGACACATCGTTCAATATAGTCTATAAAGTCTGCCGAAACGGACACGAGTACATTATTTTATTTATTTCTATTTTTTGGATTATAGCTTGAAACCACACCGTATTTTTGGTACAAGTATGGAATTTTCAGCATGTTATATCGGTAGCCCAATTTCGCAGGCCGACCATTGATATCGGGTGTGTGTCGGCAGGGGGTCGAACCCCGGACCATGTGCAAGGTCGGCGAGAGTACTAACAGCTGTCACTTAAATCCTTTTTGTCACTTTGTGTATGTCAGTTGGCCTTTCATTTTTCATATATACTGACTTGACAAGTAAATGTGTGTGTGTGTGTAATCAGACTGTTGTTCGAAATGCATATTGCGCAAATAGATTATCAAGAACAAATTGTTATACTTTTTTCATATAAAAATAGAATTAAATCAAATTCGCATTTTACCGATTCATTCGTGAACTGTGCAGTTTACACATTTCGAGAAGGTAATTTTCACCTTTAGAAGTTGAAATTATTCAAACCACACACAATAGTGATCGACCTGCTTGATACCATAAATGGTGATCAAGAAAATTTGCACACATTTATATACTACTGGTTGATTGAGATGAGTAGTTACGTACATCTGAATCGAACTCTCACTGGCTATTTCGGTTATTTGAACCGACTCAAACCGGGCAGACACACTGCAGCTGTTGCTGATGGTGATGATGATGATGATCTTGACCCCAAATGAGCGAAATGGTCGTCTAGAGTTTAAATCACTTAGAACTGCCGTTTGCCCGTTTAGCATTTGCCAACAACTTATGCCATCTCTGGCTTAGTAGACGTGATATCCTGCTGGCTGTCGACCAAAGGACGTGTATACTGCTCAGCAGTTTTCTCCATCCTCCTTTATGGACTGGCTTTGAGTGAGACATGGCCATCGGAAGTGGGATATACGAAGAGACTAACTGTCTTTGATCTTAGATGCCTGCACTCTACCTCTAGTGTTGGGTGGTATGTGTTGAATAGTATTGAAGTTAAACGTAGAGTGTTCGGTGAGAAGGGAAAATTAATCGATGAGGTTGTGAAGCTACATTGATTGAGATGGTCAGGACATGTGTGTTTCGCATACCTAGTGATCGCCTTACTCGACGATCAATGTTAGTTGCTGAAAGAGTTATATATTGGTGGTCAAACCAAAACATGGCTTCATCAGTGTCAATGAAATGCATAGCACTCAGTTTAAGCCAAGTTGACTGATTGGGATCCTCGGGATTGACGGTAAGAACCGATGAAGGCTGAAGACAATTGGGGGGATATGGCTGGCTCAACATCGTCGCTGTTATTGATGATAGCGCAGATGCATTCACTCTTTGTGATTTCTCATATTCTCTACAAAGCGCTATTGTTCTTCTTCCACACTTCTGTTTCTCTCTCTCTCAGTCTTTCCTTTGAACCTGTCTTCTGTTGTTTTGTGGGCTACATAGAGAGTGGCAACTGGAACTGGTGCAGATCTGTGCAAAGTACCATGTTGAAACCACTCAGATCTACCTGTTAGATCTGAGTGGTATTCAACTATTCATTTCATTCGTTCAGTATTATGCAGCAAAATACAAAAAAGCGGAATCCTAATCATCAAAATACACTTAGTCATGTAGTATCGAAATTTTAGGAGTATTAACAAGATTTCTTGTATGCATACCTAACCCAGTACTTTTTCAGTTGCCATTACACTTTTCTTCTTTTTTCCTTCACGTTCCGCAGTGGAGCATAGGGCTTCAATCTAGTGGCTTGAAGTTTCTGTAGCAGTGTTTATTATTTTACAGGATGGGGTTGCTAACCTCATGCCCAACCTTTCCTCTTCACCAGTATTACTACTGGCTTAGCGAGGTAAAGGAGTGCGTCGGCCGGGGATCGAACCCCCCCTGGACCATGTGCATGGTTGGCGAGCGTCCTAACCGCTATGCTACCGACTACCATAACACTAATGACTCTTAATGGATGTGAATAGCGTGTGTGTGTCTATCACGAAGATGAATTCAAAAAGCTCTGTTTCTTCTAAGACAAGGAAAAATGTCCAACCTGATAATGGTAATTTTATTTCTCCATTGTCCGTGTTTATAATTGACAGTCCTGACAGATTGTTTATACACAATGTAGGAATGATGAATTCCGTTAGTGTTCTAATTTCAACGCATTGAAATCTATCTAGTTTCAAGGTTATCTCTAATGGTTTTGTTTTATAGAAGTATGATTATTGTTTCTTACACACATACGCATAATAAATTCAAAGATCATTTGGCTGTACGCCAAATTCACTTAAGCCTCTACTTTTACTACTACAACTACTACCTTTCCCTTCTCTGTTACTTTCCTACTCTACCCTCCCTACTTTGTGTTGTTTATGTCTCACTTTTGTTGTTTTTGTTGTTTCTTGGCAATTGTCTTTCGATTGTTTTCTGTTAATCCCCATGACTGGTTTTTTTTAGTTTCCTTTGAAAGGCTATGCGAGTAATACTCTTCGTCATTCGCCCCAGTCAAATGGGGCATTTACTTTCATTGAACACTAGCCGGTAATCTCAAGGAAGCCTGTCTAGACTCAGATTTCGCGCTTGTTGAAGATTACGGATAAGCCCGGATGACGAGTGCCAATAGGCGCGAAACCCAGGTTCTAGTCAGGGCTTCCTACCACTCGCCTCCAATCATCTGAAAGCAATTTGGATTATCAAGCTTTATTTCAATATATTAATTTTGTCACAAAACGACACCAGTTACAGGTTGGTTATTGAAGACCAGGGAGCACTAGAAAGCCATTTCATCCCAACCGGGGACTCTTCAAAAATGCGCACTAACGATCCCACCGGGGGTCGAACCCCGGGACCTGTATCCTATTCTTGTGTCCGTCCCCCTAACAGACAAATAAAGTCTGTTGATCATGCCATATACAGCAGTTTGCAAACTTGACTGATAGAATTCAGTCTATACCAAACGAAAGAATAGGCGCATAGCATTAGTTAATATTTTTGACTGCAGCATAGGAGGACCCAGATTCGAATCTCAAAATGGACATGAGTTCCTCTTCAAGATTGTATATATACGCCCTACTGACTGTTTTTGAGTGCCAACAAACACGAAACCTAGGTCTAGGCATGGCTTCCTACTGATTGGGTCCTTCCGTCGAATACTGACTGAATTTAATCGTAGGAAATAGAAATAGTTGAAGTTAGTGTTTTTTCACTTCTGTAGACAAATATTAGATTATGGTGTCTAGTGATCTTTTGTGTTTCACGGCTCCCGGTAATGAAATTTCGGCCCAAGGTATTCTGCATATATCTGCATATTCCACTGGACTTCAGTTCCTTGTTACAATACCAAAAAAACACTGGCACCACCAAGTTGGCTTGCATCAACGTTCTGAGTGGAACACGGGGCTTCAGGCTACAGCTCTGAAGTTTCTGTACCAGTGAATTTATTTTTACGGGGTGGGGTTGCTAGCCTCTCGCCCAACCTTCTTTGTTTACCGGATCTACTACCGGCTAAATTGAAGGTTAGGAGTGCATCGGCCGAGGATTGAACCCCGGACTTGATACGTGGTTGGCGAGCATTCTACCGATGCACTCCGGTGGTACCTATACCAACAATTTATCACAACATAATTAATTGTTGAATACGTTGGAAATTTTTAGGCTTATTTAGGATGATGAAAGGATAGTGTGGTTTAGTTAGGTAGTAAAATATATATGAGTAAAGTTCTGTTTGGTTGAAGGAGCCTACTAAATACTACCAAATCGATCGATCGATCAGTACAATATGATCCTTACATCGACTAATAGCGTTTACTAGTCAGATTGAAGTTATCTAAACATCGGAAGGCGATTCCTCTCATTTGCCGCACCGCCCCCCCTCCCGACTGAAACTGGAATGCTATGCCAATATCGGTTCTCAAAGCGCCAAAATGAGCAGCTTACTCAGTCACGATTATCATCTCTTGTGTACAACTGAGTATCATTTGTTATTTGTGCAAAAATGGAACATTTTGTAATTCTTATAACCTTTCGAATCACATTTTCTCCTTTTTTGCTTTCATTTTGGCATAGATTCAAACGAGATTGGACTAAAAACTTCAGATGCAGTTATTGTTTCATTCCAAGAGTTGTTCAACAATCTCCTTAAAAAGCTTCATAACTGATTGCTTGTCTGCCGGTGCACTGAAAAAAAACAATCACTCCCAACCTCCTTCAAATCAACAATAACTCCATTTTCTGTATTTGCCCCTAAAAAACAGAAAATAATTCCATTGTACAGAACCTCGATTTTTCTCAGCTAATCAGATTCGTTAGCATTCATTTAATTAAATATATACATATATATTTTTGGCAGAGAATTCGCCTTATTTCTACTAATTTCTCGTCGATGCTTACATTCCTGAACAAGGGTATTTCAAACCATGGGGTACTAGACAGCTTCTTCATTCCACTTCAGGACTCTTAAGCGGTACACACCGACTACATTATCGGGGATCGAATCCGGCACTTTTAGTTTAGAAGACAACCGCGTTGACCGTTCAACCACTCGAACATGAGTTCTAACTTCTACCGATTCACGTAAGGTAGCTCAGCCTATGTCACCGGGTAGTATTTGTCCTCACATCCGACTTGGTGATGAACCCCAGTGGTCTCACTGGAGTCCCCAAACTATGACGCAATAGCTGTCCACTACTCCCTAGTTTTCAGTAGTTCCCTAACTGACGTCAGTCCGTGATTTAACTTTAAACCAACCAATTCCGTACAAACCAGCACTAGTTGTGATTAGATAATTTTGTAACTTGAAAATCCCCATTCACTCATATAAAAGAAAAGAAGGCGTTCAGCGAAGAGACTCTTTTCGGCGAATTCATTCACTGAGCTGTACAATCGCATTTATATACAATTTTATTTGTGTGCGTGTACAGTAGATTTATAAAGTTTAGATAATTACGTAATATAAGTATTATTTGGCTTGGAGACAAACGTTAAGATAGAAAATAAAATATACTTGATTAAGTGGATTGGATGAAGTAATACAGTTGAGTAGAATTCAGAGTAAGTTAGGTTGGCAACAGTGTTAATGAGTGGTGGTTAAAATTAAATAAGGGTGGGGGTAGAGAATAATACAATTGAAAATTAAGTAAGTTAATCGGATGACGTAATACAGTTGACTTGAAAATTTGACGTGGGTCGAGTTAGCAACATTGTTAATGAGGGTAGAGATTAAAAAAGGGTGGGGTAGAGAATAATACAAATGAAGATGTGAAATAATAAAATGCAAAAGACTGAATACAATTAGTAAGACTGAAATTAAGAAAGATTACATCCATTGTAGATTTAATGAATGAACGAATTTCTTTTGTATGCTGAGTTCAGGATTTAGCAGATGAATTGCCATTGCTTCTGCGATGTGGAGAAGTTTGATCCGTACACTTTTAGCAAGATTGCCTTGTATTCTGTAGATAACTTTGAAGTTTAATTGTGGTTTGACTTGGTGTCCTGAATCGATCAAATGTTCAAGGATCGAGCTGCGGGGGCATCGGTTTTCTCCTTTATAAAACCATGAAGGTAAATGTTCGTTGACGCGTTTGGATAGCGAACGCTGAGTACGGCCGATATACCTGGCTCCACACTAGCAGGTGAATTTAGAAGCCTCTGAGTTGACTGAATTCGATTCTTGTAGAGTGTGTTTAATTCAACTAGTTTACTAAATCTTCTATGAAAACTAGAGTATATCGCCATTATAAATCAAGTTAGTAAGCCTTGTAACAACTTTATTTTGCTGAGCAGTCGATTCGGCAGATGTAGTCATCGGCTTTATTACACCAGCAATGATGTGTATTATATCGAAGATGCTCAATTAACATGAAAACGGGAACTACGTCTACCGTCAATCAGATTTCAGGTGGAGGTGAATATGTAAATCTCTGTGCGAGTCTTAGGATGCAGAGAACAGTTAGTTTCTATTGAAGTTGAAATAACGCAAGTTATACTAAGCGGTGTTGAATGAAGCAAAAACAACAGTAGCGGTTTGTGCAGAATAAGATGATAGTACCATCATTGTTTATTTCGTCAGCTGAGTGCAGCCTAAAGAAATTATTATTATTATTAAGTTTATGTACAGAGGAATTTTAACATACTAACAGATTTTACATGATGTTAGTTGACAGCAGGGTCCGAACTCAATGAACAGTTTTAACCCGGAGAGTTCAAGTTTAAACAAAAATTGATGTATGCATACAATGGCAAAGGGGTTACGTAATAATGACGAGAGATGAGTAATTAATAAATTGGGTGACAATGTACTGAGTTCAACTCAAATCAGGGAAACAAGAGACAAGCAGACTTACAGTATATCAAAGGGGAGGAAAAGGTTACAAAGAAGGATTACATAATCATCCAGTTACCAGGTCAAGGAAAGACTAATAACGGCGTCTTTCTGAACACTTAAATAGATAAACTTGAGGAGAATTGAAATATATTATCCACTGATGATTCTTGAAAGATTTCATGATGTCCACCTCATGAACTGTATCAATAAGATGCTTGACAATAGCACTACTGAATGCGTTTGTTTTCTTGGAACGTAGGCTTTTTGACACATGTTCAGAAAATCGAAGGTGTGTCCCTCTTCCTGTTGTCCCAATGTAACTGCTACCACAGGTACATCAACTGGCATTACGGACATCCAAGTACATATTTTGCCACATCTTCTCTCATACCTGTCCAGCACATTCTTTGTCTCAAGAAGTCGGTTGTTCTGGCTACACCTGTATGCGCTAGCTGGTGACGACATTCTTGTATCATCTCATGGCGTACAACCTGAGGCATTAGCGCCAACCAACTTCCATCGTTCTCTCGTCAAGTCAGAGTTCCGTAGGCCTTCACTCGTAATCAATCTTTCTGTGTGAGTAGTGTAGTCAGTTCCCTACTCGCCGTAGGTTGATTTACTTCTATTCCATCAGTAATCACCACCTGTATCACTGTATTCAGGGTGAGTTCTGATTTCTAACTATCCGGCAAGTGTTAATTAATCTTTTTTTTCCAATGCATACAGGCTAACCGGCACAGTTTGTTGTGTCAGGGTTGAAACAGGTGTAGCTCGTCTCGAACTTGCTACCGACTGGTTATCCTATTGATAGTAAAATCACTACCATTCTGTCCAATCTATGCAAATTGATCATAGAAATTAAGATGTATGCAAATAAGGCGTGCGTACTTTTGGTTTTATTTTACTGTGTGCATTCATTAAATCAATCAATCAATCAACCAAACGAGACAACACACTAGTACACTGAATTTTACTGCAACTACTGCATATACAATTTAAACCAATACAGCTTAACACTTACACCGAGACGATAATAAAAAAAAGCGTAAGCATGGACGCACAAATTTTGACGTCGTCTTGATTAAACAAATATACACAGACAGATAGATACATACATAAATGGACAGACGAATAGAATGACTGGCTGACACACGAAATCCATAAAATAAAGTATACAATATTAGCATCATTAGTAGTAGTATTATCATTATTTATTGATTTCAGTAAACTAACTCTATCAAAATATAAGATCATTTTGCAAATAAGCCTATATACAGACAGATGGCTAAATCAATGGACAGAGACAGACAAGTATAAATAAATGTCCAACAACGAAGGACATGAGACACAAAGTACATTAGTCGTGTCTTTTTTTTCTCTCTCTCTCTCAATCGATTTTCTTATTTTTAACGATGATAACTTCCTTATTCAGGGAAAGAAAAACAATAATAGTAATAATACTCATACAACTCCGAACTCTCTGTCCTAAATCAATCATAGCTTTTTGTCAAGATCCAGCATCAGCCAGAGAGATCATTATAAACACAAGGAAATCTTAAACAGTGATCCCACCACGGCTAGGAACCACAACTATCAGGTTACGCAGACCATTCAGCCACTTCAGAAGGGATCCAATGGCCATGGTTATGGATTCTAACTTCTGTGAATTCGCGATTTTAGCGCAATCACCAACTAGAGGACCCTACTAGTCCTGAACTAATGCCAAACACCATTTCAATACTCCCTACTGATTATCACTGGTTAGCTGACTGACGTCATTCCGTGATCAAACATGGAATAAATCGAATCCTTACAGACCAACACCTGAAAATTTTGTATTTGCCTAGATGTTCCGTCTCCGTTGAAATAACGGCTCATAAGTACGAACGTTTCGACGACATCTAAGGATTAACGTGAATTCATTTTAGTTGGTTGTGTCTTTCACTGGAAACCAAGATTCATCTGGATGTGCTTACAATCACTAGTGAGTGGTGGTATTTCCCTGAGACTCGGAACTTTCACTCATCGTTTCAAACACCAAACCATTATCCACAAAACCTCAGTGAGTGAATAAATGTTTCATATTGAACACAAGTATATTTTGCTGTGATACTGCTTACTTCGAAAATTTCGCGGAATGCTTCTAACTTGGGCTACTGAGAACCTTTCTATAATTCCTCTTATTCGACTTGTTGAAATTTTTAGTAAAATATCACCTCCAACAGAATTATTGTTTATTCTGATGAGTGTTTTAAACATTTACAACCTGCACATTCACATGCAAGTTCCTACTAAATATGAGAAAAAATACATTATCCACCTCGATGGATGAGATGACCGTTCCCCAGTTGTGTCCCCCTCCTGAACATTTTATAATTGGCATTCAACAAAGTGTCGAAGGGGGAATTTCTCGAAGGAGACAAGGAAGAGATATCATCATCATCAGGTTTGCGCTTCAGGTCAGATAGACAGGACTGTTTGTCCACGATCCACTGTCAATCATCGAATGTTTTATTTGAAGATCGTGGACGAAGAGAAAATACCACGGAATAAACTCCTCTAGAAATTATGCACAGCATATAAACACTGTTCAGAATAAAACTGCTATTATTATTATCACTATTTATTAAGTTAAGTGACTCGGGGAAGACGTTTCACAACATACGTGAGAGAAGACATGTGAGGCGAATTAGTCATAGGAGATATTGAATGGTAATTGGCAAATAAGCTCTCTCTCTCTCTCTTGAAGTAAATTTAAACAAAACTCATGCATCACTGTCGAATTCACAGCGCCCAGATGAACAGCGTGAAATTATATCGAAAGTAGGTGTACATGAGAACACCTTGTGGAGAGATATGCATAAATGTGTACACCTGACAACCTATATCCTCGTTGAGAAATCCCATGTCTAGAATGATCGACAGACAACTATCTTCATGAAGTGACGTTTCTTAGAGAAAGTTGAAAGTCACAACAACTGTAGACTGTTGATTTACACTAATTTTCCAGTGACTTGTGGATGGA